AACCTACGGCTCTGTGATTCCGGTGCAGCGCTCTAACCAACTGAGCTACAGAGGCCAGCGGTTGAGCTTTAACCGTAAGTTCATGTATATTTAAGTAATCGGGTGTGCGGGTTATGATAAGGTGGACTTCAATAATTTGGATTCTTGCACTTCACTTGGTGGAATTAATATTAGAATGTTAGGGTTTGTAATCCAAGTGAGAATATATATATTTTAAGACCTAACCAGGAACGACTGCGAAAAATGCAGCACATGGTCCTCTGGTAGGAATTGAACCTACGGCCCTGTGATTCCGGTGTGCACAGCGCTCTAACCAACTGAGCTACAGAGGCCAGCTGTTGAGCTTTAACCGTAAGTTCATGTATATTTAAGTAATCGGGTGTGCGGGTTATGATAAGGTGGACTTCAATAATTTGGATTCTTGCACTTCACTTGTTGGGATTAATATTTGAATGTTAGGGTTTGTAATCCAAGTGAGAATATATACATTTTAAGACCTAACAAGGAACGACTGCGAAAAATGCAGCACATTAGGTCCTCTGGTAGGGATTGAAGCTACGGCCCTGCGATTCCGGTGCAGCGCTCTAACCAACTGAGCTACAAGAGACCAGCTGTCGAGCTTGAACCGTAAGTTCATGTATATTTAGGTAATCGGGTGTGCGGGTTGTGATAAGGTGGACTTTAATAATTTGGATTCTTGCACTTCACTTGGTGGAATTAATATTAGAATGTTAGGGTTTGTAATCCAAGTGAGAATATATACATTTTTAGACCTAACAAGGAACGACTGCGAAAAATGCAGCACAAGGTCCTCTGGTAGGAATTGAACCTACGGCCCTGCGATTCTGGTGCAGCGCTCTAACCAACTGAGCTACAGAGGCCAGCTGTTGAGCTTTAACCGCAAGTTCATGTATATTTAGGTAATCGGGTGTGCGGGTTGTGATAAGGTGGACTTCAATAATTTGGATTCTTGCACTTCACTTGGTGGAATTAATATTAGAATGTTAGGGTTTGTAATCCAAGTGAGAATATATACATTTTAAGACCTAACCAGGAACGACTGCAAAAAATGCAGCACATGGTCCTCTGGTAGGAATTGAACCTACTGCCCTGCGATTCCGGTGCAGCGCTCTAACCAACTGAGCTACAGAGGCCAGCTGTTGAACTTTAACCGTAAGTTCATGTATATTTCAGTAATCGGGTGTGCGGGTTATGATAAGGTGGACTTCAATAATTTGGATTCTTGCACTTCACTTGGTGGACTTAATATTAGAATGTTAGGGTTTGTAATCCAAGTGAGAAAATATACATTTTAAGACCTAACCAGGATCGACTGCGAAAAATGCAGCACAAGGTCTTCTGGTAGGAATTGAACCTACGGCCCTGCGATTCCAGTGCAGCGCTCTAACCAACTGAGCTACAGCTCAGCCATCTGTTGAGCTTTAACCATAAGTTCATGTATATTTAGGTAATCGGGTGTGCGGGTTGTGATAAGGTGGACTTCAATAATTTGGATTCTTGCACTTCACTTGGTGGAATTAAAATTAGAATGTTAGGGTTTGTAATCCAAGTGAGAATATATACAGTTGCATATTCTCACTTGGATTACAAACTATTCTCATTTGGATTACAAAATATATACACCAAATATATACATGTACTATACCGGTACATTTGTATATTCTCACTTGGATTACAAAATATTCTCACTTGGATTACAAAATATATACATGTATATATTCTCACTTAGATTACAAACCCTAACATTCTAATATTAATTCCACAAGTGAAGTGCAAGAATCCAAATTATTAATTTCAAATGCCCCGCCGGGGCTAAGGTTCGAGTGGAAATGCCCAACCCCCGGGATGTGCTTTACAGGAAAATGGCTGGGCGAGGGGGATGGGCACACTTGGATTTGGCTGATGCATTAAAAGTCCTGTGTTTATTCCAGACTGCTTGTCAAATATTTACTTGCTAGAAGTAGAAATTTACTCTGACCGCTGGATGAAGAAGACATTAAATAAGTACTGGTCAATAAACAGAAATGTATTTTATTTCATAGTATTACAATTTTATTTTTATACTATAAAAATAAAATATAAACATGCAGCATATAATATGCAAATTCGAGGCAAAATTATTGTTGAATCGGTTTATTTATAGGATTTATAACAAATAGCAACTATAAAAGTTTGTACCTTGTCTTCACATCGTAATAGCCAATGCTTTTAATTTTACATATTTTAGAATCAGTTCCTTTCCTGGTAACTGCATTTCTAAATGAAATCATCGTGAGTAGTGAGTGCTGAGCAGGCTGTTTTACTATAAACAAATTTTAGGAATTGTTAACAATTCATATATATATATATATATATATATATAAATATATATATGTATATATATATATATATATATATATATATATATATATATATATATATATATATATATATATATATATATATATATAATTTGTTTTGTTGTAGTAGATAATAAAGTGCTCAACACTAATACAAAAGTAGAGCAAGATATATTTATATCTTAAAATTAATTATTGCTACTCAAGTTTCACGCCTTATTCAAGACGATCTTCAGGCAATCTGGATTGCCTGAAGATCGTCTTGAATAAGGCGTGAAACTTGAGTAGCAATAATTAATTTTAAGATATAAATATATATATATATATATATATATATATATATATATATATATATATATATATATATATATATATATATATATATATATATATATATATATATATATATATATATATATATATATATATATATATATATATATATAAATTCGATAGAAATGTCCGATAGAAATTCCACTTGTCCATTGGATTCAATAGACAAACAAAATTCCAATGGAGATTTCCAGGTTTATTGCATCCATTGGATTCATTGGACTCTTTCGTTTGGTCATTTCAATGGACTAGTGTCTACACGATGTTCATATGCTTGTCATTACGTCATTCAAATACATGATAATTGACCAAATGAAAAAGCAAATGTACGACGGAAATTCCACTTGTCCATTGAATCCAATAAACAAACCACATTCCAATAGAGATTTCCAAGTCCATTGGATCCATTGGATCCATTCAACACGTTCGTTTGGCTATTTCAATGGACTATGTTGCATAGGTATTGGAAATTAATCTAATTACTACGTATCAGATTTGATTAACAGGCGTATCGATTTTGACTAATGGGAACTTTGCATTGTGTGTGTTTCGTCTCTAAATTTATCGTCGGCAGTCCCTCGTTTCCTTTCATATTCCCGGAAATCTAAAACCACTTAAAGGAAGGACCGCTAAGCACGTCCAAAATAAATTGATATATATATATATATATATATATATATATATATATATATATATATATACCGCACAACCTTGAACTGATCGTGTTACAGTATGTATTTTTGTTAGACCCACACAGCGGCACAACTTCTCTTTTATTATTTTATTTTGGACGTGCTTAGCGGTCCTTCCTTTGAGTGGTTTTAGATTTCCGGGCATAGGAAAGGAAACGAGGGACTGCCGACGATAAATTTAGAGACGAAATACACACACAACGCAAAGCTCCTATTAGTCAAAATCGATACGCCTGTTAATCAAATCTGATACGTAGTAATTAGATTAATTTCCAATACCTATGCAAGATAGTCCATTGAAATAGCCAAACGAACGTGTTCAATGGATCCAATGGATCCAATGGACCTGGAAATCTCTATTGGAATGTGGTTTGTTTATTGGATTCAATGGACAAGTGGAATTTCCGTCGTACATTTGCTTTTTCATTTGGTCAATTATTATGTATTTGAATGACGTAATGACAAGCATATGAACATCGTGTAAACACTAGTCCATTGAAATGGCCAAACGAAAGAGTCCAATGAATCCAATGGATGCAATAAACCTGGAAATGTCCATTGGAATTTTGTTTGTCTGTTGAATCCAATGGACAAGTGGAATTTCTATCGGACATTTGGTTTTTCATTTGTTCAATTACCATGTAGGCCTATTTGAATGACGTAATGACAAGCATATGGAATTTGTGTAGACACTAACCCATTGAGATGGCGAAACCAAAGTGTCCAATGGATCCATTAGATCCAGTGGACCTGGAAATGTCCATTGCAATTCTGTTTGTCCATTGGATGCAATCGCAAGTAGAATTTCTATCGGACATTTGCTTTTTCATTTGGTCAATTATTTATCATGTATTTGAATGACGTAATGACAAGCATATGGACATTGTGTAGACACTAAGCCATTGAGATGGCCAAACGAAAGTGTCCAATGTATTCAATAGATCCAGTGGACCTGGGAATGTCCATTGGAATTGTGTTTGTCCATTTTATGCAATAGACAAGTGGAATTTCCATCGGACATTTTTTTTTTATTTGGTCAATTACGATGTATTTCAATAACGTAGTGACAAGCATATGGACATCGTGTAGACACTAGACCATTGAGATGGCCATTGGATACAATGGACAAGTAGAATTTCCATCTGACATTTTCTTTTTCATTTAGTCAATTACCATGTATTGAATGACGTAATGACAAGCATATGGCAATCATGTACACACTAGGCCATTGAGATGGCCAAACGAAAGTGTCCAGCGGATCCAATGGATCCATTGGACCTAGAAATTACCATTGGAATTTTGTTTGTCCATTGGATCCAATTGACAGGTTAAATTGCTATTGGACATTTGCTTTTTCATTTGGTCAATTATTTACCATGTATTTAAATGACGTAATGACAAGCATATAGACATCGTGTAGACATTAGGCCATTGAGAAGGCAAAACAAAAGTGTCCAATGAATCCATTAGATCTAATGGATCTGGAAATGTCCATTGAAATTTTGTTTGTCCATTGGATCCAATAGACAAGTGGAATTTCCATTGGACATTTGCTTTTTATTTGGTCAATTACGATGTATTTGAATGACGTAATGACAAGCATATGGACATCTTGCAGACACTAGGCCATTGAGAAGGCCAAACGAAAGCGTCCAATGAATCCAATGGACATGGAAATGTCCATTGGAATTTTGTTTGTCCATTGGATCGAATAGACAAGTGGAATTTCTATCGGACATTTGCTCTTTAATTTGGTCAATTACGATGTATTTGAATGACGTAATGACAAGCATGCGGACGTCATATAGATGGTATGCCATTGAGATAACCAAAGTGCCCATTGGATCCATTGGACAACGTGTTTTCTGTTGGAAAAACAGTTGTCTGATGGATCAAATGGGCAAGTCATTTCGCGTGCAGGCATATCTCTACAGCAGTTAGTCAATACCGGCTGCTGGGAGATTAAAATGTGTAATCATACCTGTTTCTACTATTTATTTTTGCGTTCTTGTTAAGTTTTTATTTTTATAAGAGTAATTTAATTTTACTAGTGTAAATCCAACCTCGTACCAGGACTTTCTTTGGGAAAGACCCTGGCTGCGGCTGGTCACGTGCCTCATCAAAAATTTAGCGCCTGAGTTGGTGTGGGAATGTATGAAATTACATAAACATGCTTCCAGTGGAATATTTGTTAAAAATATAAATTTTGCGAATTATTACGTTCAGAATACTTTCTAATTTTTGTTTGTTTTTTTTGCTTTGAATTTACAAGAACATTCTTGCTTACAGTCAAGTCAAGAAACAGATCAAGTCGTTACTTACTGTATGTGCTCTCTCGTGTTGTTATTCAATGCATGCTCTCTTCACAATCGAGCGCGGTTATAACAAACCTTTTAATATTGTAATGTTTTTCAAATACGCCATTACATTCGTCCTTTCTTGTAAACGTTGATACGCTTTGTACCGATTCATTATATTGTGTTAACATACTATACAGATTTACAGTGTCAGATGCGCACAGACCGCGTCATTGGCATCATAAGAATAGACATAAATTTTCGAGTTTTCTAGCCTACTTCTACTAACATTTTTAAAGTTTTCATTGTGAATCACCTGTAATTCATTAATTATTTGCTACTTATATTTATTTGATACTTGATAGTGTCATATACTGAATAATGCGTTTACACACAAGCAATCCTGGATATGAAATGGATAATGCAAACTGTACATTAAAAAATAACGTTATTCTATTTCAGAATTTAGAATTTTTTTTTAGAATTTTAATGAATTTCGTACAATTTTTTTTACACACAAATTTAAAGACAATTAGATAAGATATATACATAATATTATTGAAAAAAGAAGGAAAAAAAGTATAAAACATATTGCACGCAGTGCTCAAAGTAGCAATAAGCTTTCGAGTTGATCACTGCCTCATTAGGTTATTTTAGAGAAAGTTTAACAAGATATTTTTATATGACAAATTAAATACAATATCATTGCCTCAAGGAATTAGAGGGGGGTGTTTGTGAAATAATTAGAAATTGAGTATATCTTTTTCTAAATATTGACATTGAATTTGATCGCTTGATTTCAGGATTAATAGACTCCCAAATTTGTGATGAAATAAATTTAAATGTTTGTATTCCATAATTAGTTCGTGCTTTTGGTCTACTTAAATTCTGTCTGCTAGCAAATCTGGTATTATGAGAGTGTTGAGCGGATACAACCTTAATACTACTGGCAAATACTGACGGGATATCATTTGTTTCTGCTAGAATTTTGTAAATTTTCACAAAGTCATGTATACAGCAAAAAATGCTAAGTCGTATATACAAAGTCATATATACAGCAAAAAATTAAAGCTTATTCATGTCAACACGAAAGCTGTTTACAAAATTATAAAGGTGGTGAGCACTGCTAAACAGTGCTCATTGAAAGATATGTATAATTATAGTGACATATAACAGGGGCGGATCCAGCTAAAAATCTGACTGTAGCATAATTCCAAACTGAGGAGGCACCACGTAATCTAGGGGATCCGGGGGCATGCCCCCCCTGGAAAATTTTTGAAATTTGAAGCCCGGAAACACCATTTCCTACATTTTGAGCATCGAATTCTGTTCTAAAATTTGACCTTAATAAGGCCATATTTTAGACAAAAAGTTACAAAAACACGTAAAGAGACAGTAAAATGGTTAAACGACATACCAAGTCATACCAGATCTACATTCTTAATTACTGTATGCAAAGTTTAAGACGAGCCTTCCTTCCCATATTAATATGTAATTTAATATCATACCGCACATGTGTAACACTAACATATATAAACACAATTACAATCAATGCATAAAATCAATGGGCAGAACGATATATAACGCAAACAGACACATTTATATACTGAAAGAAACCTTCTGATTAACAGAGATTCAACCCCTTAAATATACAAGCCAAATATCGAGGTTTTGCTTGTATTTTTGAGTTACAGTAATTCAGTATAAAACGTACCCTATCTCTCAATCCTAAGGTTTGTGTTGTTGTCATTTACCAATGTGGAAAGTTTGTATCGCGCGGCGGAAATATCGGACGCGCAATTTTGATACTTTCTATATATTTACTATTAAATTTTCGAAATCTCCTGCGCGCAATTTCCAAACACTGGCACGGAGCGTTTACATTTATATTTTGTTTATTAATATATTCTAATATTCACAAGCTTACCTGACCCGAACGTGGTTCAACGAGCGCGCTCTTTCACCGTTTCGAATTGTAATTTCGAAAAATCACACACAAATACCTCGCGATCTTTCAGGCGATCGGCCTTAACTTTGCTGCCGATGGCATCACCTCACATAGCGCTTTAGTCTACTTAGTTTTTCTTGGAAAGAAATTGGCTCGGTAAAAGCGCAAACAAATATAGCCAAATAACATCGCTCTAAAGTTCCTATCGAATTGCGCAACTGTAGCTGACTGTAGCGCATTGCAGCACTGTTATTGGTTTGCTTCATCTGACTGTAGCAAAAATGCTAAATTTAGTAACTCGTCCCCCCGCTGACTGTAGCATTTTGACGTAAGACCCCCAGTTGACTGTAGCATTTTGACGTCATAAATCGCTATATTTAGACCACTTTTCTGAACGCTTTTTGAACGATGTTTAAAAAATTTAGGTGATTTCCCCTAAAAGCGGGCGTTGTTTTGGGTAAAATTCAGGTTAAGATAAGCGCGTAAAAACGTAACTTAATATTCGTAGCTCACAAAAAACGTACGGACATCTGGTCGAAGATGCGGAAGTTAATTTTTTTGGGATAGAGAAACTGGAAAACTTCTATAAGGAATTTTTACTATCACCACATTCAGTATTAAAAATACTTTTGCACGAAAATCTGACTGTAGCATTTGCTACAGTTGCTACAGTCTGGATCCGCCCCTGTATAATTTGTCGTTTGACTTATCTTTGGTGTACGATTTTAATACCGTAGATTTTCAACAGACAGCTATACTTTGACATATACCATAATCGTTGGTTTCAGCAATGCCAAAGGCTAATTTTATAGTGTTTTTGATGGGCTTTATGTTTTTTTGACAAAGCCTTTATACAGATTAACAATCTGAATACAGTTGGCGATATTTCGGAAATCAAAAGATCTCGCTATTTCGTTGCAATTCCACATCTCATCAATAAATGAATTATTTTTGTCCGAGTATCAGGATAGACATTAATACTAAATAAATAACAACCACACTGTTCGGTCTAGAGATCTATATTTTCTTGTAGGTTTAATATTGCCACGCTGCACAAGCGCCAAGCGTGCTTTATTTGGCAAGTGTATAAGTTGAATATTGAAAACTCATCCAACTTGCTTGAATTGTAACTGGACACCAGATTATAGAGTAGAACGTCACGATATAAATATTAATTTAAGACTTCTCTTTACGATTTGTTGTTGCAAATTTACAATAAATTTCATCACCCAAAGTTGCAATTTTAAAACGCTACAAACACGCTCCTTTCCCACCCCTCTCACAGTTACAATTAAATTTACCTCCCAGAATCTGCGAAGCACGTGACCAGCCGCAGTCAGGGTCTCTCCCAGATGACAGAAGGAAAGACTCTGGGAACGAGTATGGTGCAAACCTAGATAATTCAAATTATTGTTACAGACATGTATAATATTTAAGAGGGCTTGTCAGTAAATATCAAGCAATTCTGGCCAACCTTCGAATATCGTTTTAGCTCATATTTCCAGGCATGATAGGCCTAAGTATCCCAAGAATTGATGTGTAGTTAATTTGATCAAATATTGCTTTTTAGAGGAGAAATTCGCATTTTTTCGAAGACGGTTGGAAATGCTATTTTTAGCCCCTACAATTGACTGCACTTTAGCGGCTTCAACTCAAGAAAATACACTCTAAAAAAAGGTGTGTTAATTTAACACACCTTTTTGTCCAAATTTTAACACACCTTAAGGTGGGTTTTAAAACATACCTTAAGGTGTGTTTAACACAGCTTTTGGCGTGTTTTGTAACACAGCATAAGGTGTGTTTAACACACCTTAAGGTGTGTTAAACACACCTTAAGGTGTGTTCTAAAACCCACCTTAAGGTGTGTTTTCGGCTTGTCCAGATTTTAACACACCTTAAGGTGTGTTTTGTATAAAGGTGTGTTTTTGAACACACCATGGCGTGTTTTCGTACACACCATGGCGTGTTTTCATACACACCATGGCGTGTTTTCATACACACCATGGCGTGTTTTAAAACACACCTAAAGCTGTGCTGTATAACACACCATTCAGGTCTGTAATGTTTACAGCACGTTGTAAGGTGTGTTTCATAACACACTAAGGTGTGTTACATAACACACCTACAAAAGATGCTATAATAACACAGCAAACCTAAGGAGGTGTATTAGAAAACACATCTACATATTCTTATTAAAAGTAAAATGACATTAGAGACATGCTCATTTGCACAGAGTTTATCCATGACAAAATATTTATTTGACACTGACTAAATTACATTTTACATAGTTGACTATGTACTTTTACTATGTACTTTTACTAAACCGAACTGTAACAGACAACTTCTCATTCTGATGCACTGTTCTGGCAATTAGAGTAATGGAGTACTATATTGTCTCGTACTTTATAGCCATGCAATTGTCAAAATATTGCAAGCCCACATCTTCCACAATCAGAATACCTGTCATATGAAACACTGTAAATAACTTGCATCCAATCATTCCATCTTTGTATCATTTTCTTTATCGCTCGGTGAACCACAACCTTTGAATCACATAGCCAAGTTTAACCATATTTACAGGTAGTCGTATCAATCCAACATACAAGCCTGTGTCAAGATAAGTAAAAAATTAATATACAATGGGACAATCTAACAGCTTAAGTTTATATATAACATATGTAATTAAGTCATTTAACCCACTAGCACGCAGGACTCTCTTCTTGGTGACTAAAATTGTCTGGCGTTTGACAGAGTAAAATAACAAAGGCGGGTCCATTTGGGTGCATTTCGGCTTAATGGGTTATCAAGGCACATTGGCAGATAGTTTGGATAACCATTAATGAGCAGGACACTGCTCTTGAGGAGTAAAATTGTCTGGCATTTCACAAAGTAAAATATCTGGTGTTAGTTAAGTGCAACATAACAAAGTAGGGTGCACTTTGGCACATTGCTGCTCAAAGGGTTAACAATAAAAGGATGCATATATTAGCTAAGTATATTGAATATCAATATACAGTCATTTAACAAGTTAATTTGTTTGGCATTTCAAGACATAGGATGCAATGGACTGATACTGTATCTGGCCGGATATTAAGATTTTAATTCATTATCTGGTATCCGGCTACCCAATGCCGGATATTATTCATATAGGGTTCAGGCCTTCTTTTCAGGTTAGAAAATGATTTGATAAGGTTATCATATCATGATCATTGAAGTAAAAATATGATAAATATGATCAGTATTTTCAATGCTTGTTTGTCCAGTAAATGGGGATTTGAACTTTTAACTGATGTAAACGAGGCTTTGCTACCAATGATGCATGTTTGCTACCAATGATGCAGGTTTACTAGTTTTAGACTGTTTACTTTTTAACCAAATAAAATTATTACCAGTACTTAACCTTAAATGATGCCTGAACCTTATATAATTATTTGAATAATACCCTTAATCGGGCTGGATATTTTTCAGCCATCCAGCATATCCTGTATCTGGCTGGATAGCAGAAATACTCTGTCCTGCACACCCCTAGAAAGAACCGAAAGTAGGCAACATTTAAGAGGAAATTGTTTCTTCGGTGTTAATAGGTGAAATGAGTCCATGCAGTCGATAAGTAAAATTGTCTAGCATGAGACGTCACAGTTCAATATTAAAGGACTTAAAGTAGGGAGTGTTAGGGAAAATTGCATCTAAATATGTCAACATGAAACATGGGCAAAATCTAGCTACACACAAATTAACTTGTCCAGCATTAGGAAAGGTGACATAATTTAAGAAAGTGCTGAAAACTGGGTTAATTGGAGTGAATTGGGTTGTTACATATATTACTAAGCAGATCATGTGGGTGGTGTAGCTAGCTAAATGTATTCATGAGTTTGAACAAACAAACAAACAAACTAAGGACTTTAACTGTTTCCAATTAGGGAGATGTCCATATTCAAGTTGCCACACAAAACATCAAATTGACATTTTATCTAAGCCGATCTATCCATCCTTGAAAACTTCAAGCATGACATACAA